AACCAATAATGGTTAAAAAATCATGTTCCACATTTTATTTTGACCACATAATGACTTTTGAATTCACCAGACACAAATCCATTGGACAATTCCATCTGGGCTTTTTTGGAGAGCAAGGCGAGGACTAAAAAATATGTATGCCATTGTTCATTGGATGATTGGATGAAGAAAGCCATTGTTCAGAAATGGGCCAAAATACTGAAAGATCACATTTGTGAAACATTTGACGGCCGCCCTAATCAAGGCTAAAGTTGGCGACATCGAGCTAGAGTGAATGGATTCTGAAATTCCGTTTATTTACACAAATTTTTGTAATTTGAATCAATAACAAATAATTTCCCACCATAAAGATATAGGCGCTTGAATAGGTAATACTTCGCCTAACCCTGTATATTTATACTTAATATGCAATATATACTGAAGGACGTATGCAGCTTTACTTTTCCAGTGCATAGCTCCAAATTAATTTTATTTATGATCAGTTACTTTTATGTATATAGTATTTCTTGTCTGAATCGGAGACTAATGTGGTTATAACTTAACCATAGTTGTTCTTAAATACATATAAAAATGATAAAAATTTTTTTGAAATATAATTTTCAAGGTTTTCTTTCACTTCATCACATGCCGTTTCGGTCCTCAACTTCAAGAATGGTTAAAAACTATGACCAGATTAGCTTAAGATATATACGGAAAATTTCTTTTTGATACTGTTTAAAAAAAAAACAATGCCTTAAAATGATATCGATTAAAAATCGAATTAGTTAATTAAAATTAATTCTAAATTAAATTTCATTATTTAAAATGAAAATCGTTGACTTTATATTAAATAATCTAAAATTCTTGAATTTGTTCCACCCAGAAATGGTTAAATCCATTATTTAAAGCAACTTGAATGCATATATACATAGATTTCGATAGACAATCATTTGGATTTAATCATTCCATAGATACGGCAAATAAGATGAAATACAAATTATATTAATATATACATTATAAGCAACAAAATCAGTCGGTGTACATGTGTATCTATGTATATCTTGCTTTGGGAAAGTACGAAATTACAAAATGCTAATTACTTTAAATTTTTCTCACTTCGTCGTCTTTTCATTAAGTTAACCAATTACCGTAGCAATTTCCCAAAATCAGCTTCATTTTGAATATTTTCCACTCAATACATCCTAATGACATTTGGCGAAAATGCTGAGGAAAATGCTGAGGAAAACGCTGAGGAAAACGCTTGCTAATGAACTTATCATGAAATTTCAATTTTGCTGCTATCTTGATGCGCCACACTAAAGTGACAATAATAGAAAATTGCCAGTTTCCGTACATACACGTACGAAAAACACTGATGCCTTTGTGTACGCGGGTATATGGTATATGGTAAAAAGTTAGAATAATATCCATTCAATGCAAATAAAACTGATTTGAAAAATGCCATAATTTTAAAACGATAACATAATCTCAAAAAACAAAAAAAAAACAAAAAAATGAAAGCCAGAATAAGAAAAATTGTGACTGCTTTCCCATGCTGAGCTTCCACGCTTCAGAGCAATTCAGTTAAGAAAAATATACCGCAGCAAACGCTATGGCAAACTTCCGTCACTGGCTTGGTACTTGGTGCCTTCAAGGAATATTTTAAATAAATAAATTTATAAGATATGTCGTCCTCTTTGTCTTTCTGAGATGCGCTACGTTAAGCACGGTGATATACTGAAGATTATACGGGTTAAATATTACGCATTGTTTGAGTTTGAGCTTTAAATTTCTTAGCAAAGCATTCACAAAAAGGATAATACAGAATCGTGCTGAGGATATGGTTTTTCTTCTTAATTTTTCTTATTGCGGAAGTATTGAGATTGAGATATTGCAATAATAACATACATTTTTAAAGTACATAGAACAAATTTAATCAAATTTAATCAAATTAATTTGTACCCGTGTTTTTAGAGTTAATTATTTTCAATTTAGAAATAATTTTAATAAACTCAATAATTTTCATTAAAAACATCACGCTTTCACTTTTCTACACTCAACAATTCTAAAATAGATACTAGCGAAATTATCTTTATAAATTTCTTATCACATTCTTTCAGTCTTACTATCCAAACTTTCTTTGTAATTAAAAATTAAGTCTCTTTTCTATATGTATAAATGTATTTGTTCTGATCTCTCACATGTTATCAGTCTTTCTCTTTCTTCCGTTGTTTTTTGTATATGCAATAATGAGTCTCACACCCTGTCTGCATCTTAGTTTCTCTATTTTCCATCGCATAGTGGAGCTAACTCAATATATATGGATATATTAATAAATAAATATGCAACATAAGTTATTATCACTGTAACAAACCCCGAACTAGATTGGATCTAAATATTCCAAATAAAAATAAAATTTTATATAACAATACATACTTAAAGAAAGTATGTGTTCAGTGATTAAAGAAATATTAATTTTTTTCAAGTTATTGATATAATTGCTAATCTCGCATCAAGACCAAACGAATGGTGCATATTTCTCTATAACTTTTATAGATATTAAACGTTTCGAGATAACTATTTTATTTGTAATGATTTTTTCAACTCTTATATTTTCTTCACAATAACTTATCACTTTTATTTATTTGTCTCCGCTATCCCCCGAAAAATTTTCTATCGATCAACATTATTTTTTTTGATTATACATATTTTTAGCTCATATATCTTGAGTCGTGAATCTTTTATTGTATTTTCTGCTTTATGTGTACTTTACTTGGAAGGTCTCGGTTTTTACTCAATACCTTTCTTGATTTAAGTTCTCGTTCTCATCGTGCTCCCTTTAATTACTCTTCCATCCAATTCGATTACAGTTTCTTTGGGACCATGACTTATAGAGATGGGTTATGGTACAATCATCTATTCTGAAAGACTTTTTTCACCACACTATGCCAATATAACTTGCTTCTCCAGAAATCCGACTTTAAAATTGCAAATTTTAACATAGACGACCCATATAGCTAATATAACTTTTGTTAAATATTGTTTGTGTAATCAATGTAACGTAACTACTTTATGTTATTGTCATCAATTTGCAACATTAAAACTTGACGTCTAGAGAACCAAGCTATAACGTAAAATAAAGTGTTGCTCAAAACAACCGATTTATAAAATCTGTCCTCAAATTGCGGCGCTCAAAAAATGTCTTCTCTCTTTCGTTATCATACTTGTTATTTTTATTACAAATAAATAATAATTTATGTAGGTATATAAATATCTTTCGTCATAATAAACTTATTTTATTATAATTTCGTAGTTATGCCTTTCTTTCTCCTTCTTTAACAAATGTCTTCAATTATGTTGGTATATTGCTCTCCAATTACGACGTTCTCACTCTCCTGTTTATATTCTTTGTTCTTGTGAAATTATATATATACATAACCACCTACGTAGGTCTTTTCTTTCTATGTATTTTCTTTTTATTTCTCATTTATACATACTAACGAACTGCTATAGCGCACAAAACAACATCACTGTTGTTGTCTTTTTATGTGCAAAATTTAAGCATACGCAGAGAACGATGTAATTGTGCTTCTCGATTAAATCAAGCTTTTACCCGAATATATACATAACTTATACACATAAAAAAGAAGACAAAAATGGATGAAATCTAACAATATTTGTTGTGTTAAAAGTTATAACCTTAGTAGTGCCAATCGTAGGAACCAACAACACGAATTACACAATACCAATATGAACATTGACAAACCAAGAATCAAATGCTAATGTCAAAAAGTTACCAGGTCTTGCACTTGACTTCTTTTTTCAAATTTTGAACTCTTTTTTCTCTCAAATTTCGTATTTTTCTTATTTATACTTTGCACTTCCGTTTTTGTTTCTTTTGTTTGCAAAAATTTTAGCATTGAAAATGTTTATACATACTTTGCTATGGAAATTTTTCTAAAATAAATTTATTCTTAAATCGCTACTAAATCGCTATATTTTTTTTTTTTTTTTTTTTTTGTTCAATAAAGTTCAAAGGAAGTGCTTGGTGATTTACTTATTTTCACATGTTTTTTCAGTGCTGTTAGTTAGCACTTTGACATCTTTTTGTTTTAGGTCAGGTTAAGTTTGCGTCATTGTGGTAAAGAGTCATGGTTTGTTTGATAGAAGATACGAATTCAAGTTTAGTTAATGTTTGGTTAAAGCGGCTGTCAGTCTAGCTAATTACCACACTTAGACCCTACAGGTCCTATTATGATATCACTGCTCAAAACAACAAATTTTAGTAAATAGTGTAATTTATTTGCAGCGTGATTTTTGTTATATTGATTTTTTATATTGAATCCTTTAACTTCTAGGAGGAGCATAGGGCCGCTTAATTAATGCGGTTTCCTTAATCAGTTGGTTTAAGATTGATAGATGATTGATCTACCGCATCCAATTCTGGCGTTGGGACTGCCAACTGTTGCCTCCAGACCGACAGCATATATTGTGACAGTACTTCTTTGAAGGTATACGAGCGCCGCCATTGACCACTTACGGTTCCTCCGACGCATATGTAACTAATAATTAACTAAAGCAGTTTAAATTGGAGTTTTGTTTTTTGTTTGGAAGTAAAAGAAAACTTTGACTTTTTCTATTTTTGTAAGCATTGAGATTACGCTCATCTTATCCTCTGCCATGTTCTTTTGTAACATAATCCACATCTATTTTCTAGCTATGCACTTTATACAATGATCTTCTAAAAGACATCCTTTAGTTAAGACATGCTTTAGTTTGTAGTTCATTTTCAGAGCACTTAAGCCTATTAAGCTAAATTTTATTATATTAGTTAATGTACTCTTCACTAACGTATTCAATGCCAAAATTATTCTAAGCAATTAATTGAACGATCACACCCTCCTCGAATTGTAGCGCTACTAACTTATTTTATAAGAAGTAAAATACATTACCATATATCAATGCCAATGCAAATAAATCATCAATAACATTTTCTTTTCTTTCTATTACTCCATTTGCAGCATTTACAGATACGCCGCCGACAAGAGCAGTGCGCTTCGCTTACTCCATGAATGAAGGCTTGCGACGTGCAGTAAGAAAGCACTAATAACTTCACGAACATATAAGAAAAGTGAAGCCTTCGTCCTCGTGTTAGTAGTCGTCGTGTTCGTAAAAGTCTCTGCCGAAGTCTGTCTGAGCTACACAATCCGAACTGAAATCAAGCACAGCTTTTGTGCACTGCGGCGCTGCTGCATAAAAGCGTACACAACAACAAATCTAGGTGAACTGCGCTGCGCCGAACGAAATAATACACGGTTAAGTGCAGTGAGGACACAAAAATTTAGTAACTAAATAACGCATTTAAGGAAAATTCAACCTTCAAAGGAAAAGCAACGAAACGACGGTGCTGTTGATATTGTCATTGTTTTTTTTTTTTGTTTTTTTTTGTATGAACATATTTTTGTTTGAATTTTTTGTTGCTACAAAAGTGCACAAAAAATAAAATATATTAAAAATTTCGCGTTTGTTAATATGTGTATGTGTGCTTATATTAAAAACATATGCGTATGTGTGTTTGTAAAATATTGAAAGAGCATAAAGAAAAAAAAAACAGGAACATTTTGTGTGTTCTTTATCAGCGCGTATAAATTTTGTAACGAGAAAAATTTTTATCAATGTTCAAATAACAAAGAAATATAACAATTTCAAAATATATATATACATATGTATATCTGTGCGCAGTTATATTTAAAAATAAATAGAACAAAACATATTGTATATTGTGTGCAGTGTCGTCTCTAAGTAAATAAACAAGAGTAACATTTTTACGCGTTTTTAAATGCAGCAATAAACAAAAGTGTCCAACAGATAATGTACGACGAGCAACTACAAAAATACCAAGTCAATATATATTACTGATACCAGTGCCGCCGATATCGTATATATTGTACTATATAGTTATGTACACGTCGTGTATGTGTCGAAGCATTTGCAAGCAAAAAATACAGGAGCATTTGTAAGTTAACATAAAATGCATTGCAAGCACGTTTTCGTTTAATTTCATTTAGGTAGTTGCAAGGAAAAGCAGGCGGCGACGACGCACGCCACACTACGCTAAATACAAGCCAAGCCAAGCCAAGGTAAGCTAAGCTAAGCTAAGCAAAGCAAGCAGACAAATCAAATCAAATCAAACTAACAACAACAACAACAACTACGCAGCGTATAAGCGTGTCTTGCCTTGCGTTAAGGTTAAGGAAGAAAATCAAAGAAAAATTTAAATTAACAATTGTAGTGGAAAAATGTACACAAATAAATAACAGCAAAAACAAACGAACGAAACGTCAAAATATAAAAAATTATATTCAAAAAAAGAAAACAACAAAACAATTTGATAAACATTTAGGAATTGATTATTGTATCTGGCTTTGTGTTTGTGTCTGTTCGTACGACGACGACGACGACGACATTTGTACGTTTGTATTGTAAGTCAAGTGCATAGCAAGCAGCAGTTACAATGTTTAAATATTGCCGCTCAGTTTAAAGTTAAGAGACTACAACTACAACTACAACAAAATAAAAAACATAAAGAACAAAAGCATAAAGAAAATAACTGTTATAAAAAACAAAGAGAAAAACAATTCAGTGTAAGAAATTTATTCTATTCTAAACTAAACTAAAATAACAACAACAACAACAACCATAAACATAATACCAAACAAAAAGTTACAAATTGTTCAAAGTACAAAATAGAAACATATGTGTTTGCATTAAAGCAACAACAACAACAATAACAATAACACCAACAACAATAACAATAACAGCAACAACAATAAGAACAACAATTGAAAAAGGAAACGAATTGACATATTCATAGCCTGCCAAGCAGTGCACAGCATAAAAATAAATATTAAACAAGCTAAAGGAAGAATAAAATGTACGTACGGCATAAAGTAAAATAAATACATACATACATATATGTAAATATATAACTTGGTGTATTATTTATATATACATATATGTGTATGGCAAATAAAATATAGAAACTTTGTCAATAAATAAAAAAAAAATTGCTATAGTGCACTTTCGCCACGCCTACGTTGCAGCCCCCAAAGCGTTAGCATATTCCTGCCATATATGCTGCTCCTTTAAGTTCACAGTTAAAAAAGAATTTTTTTTTCTGTGCTAATACTGACTATGCACGTTGCTGCCGCTGCTGCTGCTGCTGCTGTTACGAAGTCAACTTCCTGTGTCACTGCTATTGCCGCTAAAGCTGCCATTGACAGCGTTGCTGCTGCTACAATTGCTGCGCTCGCTCATTTTGCTCGTTTTAATAATATAGAACCTGCTGTGTTTTAAATATTGTTGTTGCAGTTATTGTTTGCACTGATGCTTCTCCATGTGCAATTGTTGCTGACAATTGGTGCACGAACCTGTGCTAAATTTTAATATCCATGAATTTTATTTTCGACAAAAATAAACACAACAAAAAAAAAAAACAAAACAAAATTAAAAAATATTTGCACATAATTCAACAAAATTTATTATAATTCTAGTGAAGACTGCAAAAGTGGAAAACAATTAAATGCGAAATAGCAAAAAAACAAAAATTTCAAATTTTCAAAAAAGAAAAACAAACTGAAATGAAATAAAATTAAATTCAAAAAATACAAAAGACAGATAAACTAAAAAAAAAATTTTTTTTTTTGAAAAAAAGTGTTAAAAGAAAAAAATCAAAATTTTGCTTTGTTGTTGCTGTGTTGCCTTGAGCAAACAATGTCATGTGCACATTTTATGCATTTAAAAAGCACAACAACAACTACAAGCATATTAAAGCAATTAAAATTACAAGCACAGAAAAGCTTCTACACAAAATTCAACAACAATTATCAACACAACAATAAAAACAGCAACAACAACAACAACAAGAACAACAACTTAGCTAAAGTCAAACTATCAATGCTTGAAATAAGAAGATTGTCGTCCAATGGAAAAAAATGTTTTCAATAAACAAAAGCAACAAACACAACAAAATAAAAAAACTCAACAACAACAAGAACAATACTAGCGTCGAAGGTTACCAACAACAAACAGCAACAAGCATTTTAAATACAAAAGCAGCAACAACAACAACAACTCATACCAAATCAACCACAGCAAGCTTAACTAGAATAAGAAGAAGTAGAAAAAGTAGGACGACAGTAGTAGCATTAAAGGCAAATATTGCTGAAGCTCAAACACAAACAACACAAACAATAGATAAAACGAATACAACAACAACAACAACAACAGTAACAAGAAGAAGACAAAAAATAATAAATACAACAACACCGGCATCAATAGCTTTAAAAAGCTATAATGCCGGCTGTGTTTGTGTTGCGCCTGACGCTATTGCTGTTGGTGGCGTTATAGGTGCAGCAGTACCAGCAATTACAAGCACAATATCAACAACGGAACCCCAACACCAACAACAACAACAACCTAAACAACAGCAACAACAATATCAACATCAATTACAGCAAGACCATCATTCTCAGCAGCAAAAACAGCAGCAATATCGTCTTCAACAACAACAACATCATCATCAACAACAACAACAACAACAACAATATCGAGAACGACAACGGCAACGACAACTTCATTGTCCCTATATTCGATTTGTTCTTCTTAGGTGTATTGTTCAAAGTTGTTATGCTGCTGTTATTGCTGCAGTCGCCGCCACCACTGCCATTGCCGTTAATGCTTACTGTGGTCATGTTATTAAACTTGGCCGATTTGCTTGTAGCCTTGGTCGTGGCGCCTATAGCCTTTCAACATTAATATGCACAGCACTCCTGCTGTTGTGTTTAACACCCGCTGCAATAACACAGGCTGCCATTGGCGGTGTCGATCCAACAAATGTTAATCTGACGGATTTAGGTATACCTGGTGTGTATAAAAATTTTAACATACATACATATACATAATACATAATACAAAATAATAATAAGCAAAATAAATACCTCAATTAAATACATATATATACTCATAAAAAAAATCACTAAAATGCACTAACTAACTAATGATTAACACAAAATATAATAAAAATAATATATGCATACATTTATACATGTGTGAGTATATGTGTGTATATATATTTTTTTTATGTATTTGTGTGTGCGTTTGTACCAAATTTGAATACTGCACATTAAACATTGAATTAACAATTATTGTGTAAAACCTCTATATTCGCCCCAAATTTCCTATTTCCTCTTACACACAAGCGTAATCATTTATCCTTGTATCCGTTCCGTCTGTCCACTATGTCCGCAAACACAAACACATGCCATATAGAACAACAAGTGAATTGCATGCAAAAACAAAATTAACTGTGGCTGTGCAGCACTCTCTACCGATAATTTAGTTTACTCTACTATAAAGGCTGCGGAAGGCAGCACATTTGTGCCTGCCGTTGGTTGGTTCATCCCTCTAATATGTGTACAATTGTGTTGTTGTATGCAAAACAACAATTAAAAAACAACAACAACAACAAATTTCGTCTGACGCCTACTTCATCACACACACACATTACCAATCATATTTGTGTTTAATTTCTTTGCTTATTTTTTATTTTATTATTTTTCATTCAATTTTTTTTTTTTTTACATAAATTTGCAATTTCTACAATATCTTATTTTTTTTCTTGTGTTTTTTTTTGTTGCTTTTGAACATTGCCTTTTATTTATTTTCAACTTTTCGTTAACTTTATTTTTGTTTTTCGTGTTTTTTTTTGTTTTTGTTTTGTTTTTTTTTGTTGTTGTTACTCTCCTCTAAGCATCAATTAACCCAATTTTTAAATCCATTTGCACCTTTCACAAGAGTGGGAAGAAAAAGTAGGCAGGCGTACCTATAAAATGCGTGCTTCCTATTTCCTATTTTTTTGTGCATTTCATTTTCTTATTTTATTTTCATTTTTTATTTTGTTTTTCTTTTTTTCTTTTTCTTTTTTAAGTAGAATACCGGGTGAGATAATAATTGAATTTATTTTTCGATCTCAAAGTGTAAATTGCATTTAAATAAAGTCGTACTCACAAGCTTTCATCTTCGAGTTGTCGAGTGATGACCTGACCACAAATGGTTACAGTTTATTACTGACGTACGATGGGTGTGAACTAAAGTCATTTTAAAGTGGTGAAAACTTTCTCCCTAGTGCGAAAGTAAGAAGTGTCCTTCCTTAACTGTTAAAGATATCAAAAATATATAGTACACTTTTAAAAAATGTAACAATAGAGAAAAAAAATGGTTCTTAGCACAAAGTATTAGTGTGAATGATTAGTAGACTTTGATCTATATTCCTATATTGCCACCATAAAAACCACTTTACCGATTGTAGGTTGGTTGCAGTCACAGGGCAGCATATAGCTTTCCACTTACGTTCAGAAGCGTTTTTACCGTTTTACTGCAATATTTCCAGCAAGATATAAAAAGACAAAAACTGATTACATCTTTTCGAATTTTAACCATTTATTAGATTTTTGTCCTTATCATTGAACAGAGTTGATCAACTGCCAAAAAAGTATTTCTGTAACACAATTTCTTCCAGAGGCCAGAGCCTGCAATCATACTTATACACACAATAATTAATGAAAAGTATTTCTGATTCTTCAATAGAAGCTTGGAAGCTCACGAAAACAGGCATCAATTGTTAATAACCCGCTTGAAAGCTATAAATAGAGCTCTACGAAACAAACTTATTAGTTTGTTTGTTCAAGTTTGAGACAAACCAGCTTACCATATGGACACATGATTTCTCACAAATGGAAAAATTAAGAACGTCTTTTCTAAAAAAAATAAAATCTTTTTTCTTTCGGAATTTAAAAACTCTTGATTGGTTGGTTGTTTGCAATGGTGGGTCATTAGATAACTTCCATGTAGCGATTCTTCGCAGTTTTGCTACCACATTTCTCGCAAGAACCGCTATCATAAAAGAGTATAAACTAAATCCATCCCGCCGAATTTAAATCATTTAATAAGTCTTTTGGCTTCACCGATGAACAGTCTAATAAACTATCAAATAAGTATCTTCCTAAGAACCTATATCTTCTCAATGCCAAAGCCGGGCATTCACAGAGAAAATGTATTATAGTTTCTTTTTCCTGCGGGTTTCCACAACTTCTGCAGTGAGAAGACAAAGTCTATATATAATCATAAATAAATTTCTAATACCTTCTATTTTCTCTTCCTTTTTATTTCTGAAAGAATTTTCCAACATAGTGCAATGTTAAAATTCTCTACGTCATCCAATAATTTTTTGTTCTGCTATTGCTTTCTGTTTGCACACTTCCGGTCACCATGACAGTTTCGTGATGACTTGAATTTATGGAATAAAAATATTTTATTGAACACACACTTTTTACAACCAATGCTTTTCATAAGAATCATAAGAAATTTACCATAAAAAATTCTTTACAAACTCACCATAAAAAGTTGTTACAAAACTCTGTATATAAAAAATTTAAGAAACAAATGGCTTATATAGTTGGACTGTTCGTACCCATATTCCTTAATTTGATTGTGACTAAGTAATAGTCCAATGATTTTAATTTTTAATTAAGTAGTTAATCTAAGAAATTTAATATAATAATATTTCATTAAGTTATACTAAGTATGATCAGCTACAATAAGGATTTATCATCCAATTATAACAATCCGTCCTCTGTTGTAGTAAATAGATAAGTATTATATTAAATTTTGAAATTTAGTATAAGTTTAGGGATTAGAATTTTTTGCTGACAAGTATCGTCTACACTGAACAAAAATTTAATTACCCCGATACTATGAACAATTAAACTCACAATCGGAACTCTCAGTTCTTCACGATTGCTGATTAATACCCACAAAGAACTGCTAACACCCACTTATAATTATAGTACTTCAATACAAATAAATTATAAGATAAGATTAGGTTAACATTATCTGACTGATTAGGTTTATTAAATAAAAATTATCTCTTTACGGATTAAAATTCGATACGATTGTAGAGTAATGATAACTAGTATCATCTCAAAAGAACCATATTTTCTACTCGTGTAGGATTAAAATTATCACTCACTCATAATCAAAACTCTCTAGCACCTATGAATTATTAGTTCTATTTCATACTAAGTCAAAATTTCATACTAATATCATCTCAAAAGAACCATATTTTCTATTCATGTATGATTAAAACTATCACTCATCCATAATCAAAACTCTCTAGTACCCATGCATAAATAGTTCTATTTCATACTAAGTCAAAATTAGCTGCACGACGGATCTTTCAGGTCGCAGTGGATGCACAGCCTATACATAATAATAAAAAAAGTCAAAATTAGAGGAATTACAATTTTTTACGATTGTACGATGACCGTTGATATTAGGTAATGAACAATACCACTTATAATGAAACCATTTTAGTATAATTTAACCTCTCTATTACTACATTTGTTTATAGTTGTCAACTATAATCAGACCTCTTCAGTACTAGTAAACGATTAGTTTCTTTAAAACCATAAGTTAATCACATTTGAGGATAACGATTTCATGATTCCAGGCTAATACTAACTAATATAAATTAAAATAAAACACAAATATGTATGATCCAGTATGATCAATTATTAGTACTTACCTGGAATAGGACCTTTCTAGTATCAGTTGTATCAGGAATAGTTTTTATGAAGATTCAGTAAAAAGTTAAAGATTACAATTCCTTACGATTGTGAACTTTTATTAAACAATAACATCTGTGAAGAATATCAATTAAAGTACTTCTTTATTATCAGACCTCTCTAGTACCAGTAGATGTAGACTAATAACGACTAAAATCAACTACACTGCACAACTACCATTCACTTATAATGAAACCATTTTAGTATTTCTTTAGCAATTCAGTATAATTAGGTTAGGCTACCTTAATTTAGCTAATAAGCTTTATTAAAGAAAAAATTAAGGATTACAATTTGACACAATTTCGGACTAATACTGCCTGTAATTTACCTATAATTATAGCTTTGTATTACAAATAGATTATTAGCTCTAAATTATGGTAATGAGCTTTGACTATAAATACACCAATTTTGTGAACAATGCTTTGTGGTCCTTAAATTTGTTGTAGTTATTGCACCCAATTTTCTAAACGAATACAATAAAACTCTCTTGACTCGGACATGTCATTTTGGTCATGTCGGTATTAATAACACCTACCTAGGTGTAACAGGATCATAGAGCAATTGGTCCTTAAAGGTTTTTAATTAATTTTCGTTTGCCTTTCTGTATTTGAGTCCGCTTTGGAAATGTATGGTTTTAATTGATAAAACCGTTTTCCCTCTAAAAAGATTTTTATTGACTTTAGATAGACAAAACGCTTGCGTTAGTTAAATCATTCGTCAATCACACAATAGATTAAGGAATTTACTTAACATTTCATTAGACTTAAGTATACTTACACATACGTTAAATCAAATACTTAAGCAGTCTATTGCCCTAAGATGTAGGTTTTATGTATAACTGCACCACCCTTTTTTCTAACGTCATTCACACTTAACTTTTCCAAACGTTCCCCTGCGTGTTCGTATTTCTTAATCGTCTGTGCTTTGTTGTATGCGTATTAAAACACTTTCGGCTCCTTTGATTAAAGCCGTTTTACCTATTTCATATTCCTATCCTTTACTCCGCCTCAATTCAAACACACTCATCCTGCATGAAGCCCATCGGGCTCTTTACCTCTTTACACCAATAACTCACATCACACACTCCTGTTAAATTTCCTTTTAGGATTTCTATTTATTTACAGAAGTCTTTTGTAGCGTTGCGGATTTTTGTAGTTGGTTTGGGTTTTGGAATGGATTGGATTGGATTGGATGAACTTGCGTCGAAGTCAAAAACGAGCTGATATAGCAATTTAACATTTTTTTTTTTATCTATTTTAATATATATTTATGTAGAATGTAGATACTTACTGGCATATTTTCTTTTCATTTACTTTTAGATATTTAAATGCAAATTAATTATTGTTTTTTAATCTGTTCCAGTTTCAGGACAATGCGATGCAAAAAATTTATTAATAATTTAATAAATATTTTTCATTGTCCGCGCTCGTCGGCGGTATTTATGCAAATTGTTATATTGTATTTTTTGCAGCTTTTGAATTAAAATTTATATCTCAATGATTACTGATTATTTTTCAGCAATTTATAACTCATTAATCTATAATTATGCCTGTATACTTTTTATAATGTGAAATTATTTTTTTCAGCCTCTTTACAATTCAGTTTCAGATATTTCAGATATTTCAGATATTTCAGATTTAAAAAATGGAACAAAAACCAAAGGATATTGAAAAATAATTCATTTTCTGATTTCAGCGCTATATTTTAAATATTTTATAATTATGCATATTTATTCCACAATTTTAGTCTCATTTAATTAAATATTTTTATTTGCTGTGTTGCTCATTATTAATTTTGAAACTTTTATATTAAATCTGACATTCCTTTTAGCTTTAATAAACACATACTCGTGCTTGTATATCCTCTGAAGTTTTGTATTTCAGCGCGTAATAAAATATTTTCTAGTATCTAGATACTTTCTGGTTTTGTATTTGTGCTCATATATTTTGACAAAGTAGGTGAGTTGGCGGCAAGGTGGTAAACGTCGCAAACCTGGCAAATATGGCAAGCATGGAAAACATGGAAAACAAGTTGGCGAGGGGATAAAGTGGCAAAGTGGCAAAGTTGCGGTATTAACGGTGTTAGCATTGAAGGTGGTTGTGTCGATGATGCTTCTGCGAGCATAAATTTATTTTGGTTTCTTCCTAGTGCGAGTGACGCTGGTCTACCGATGTGCCAATGTGCTGATGTGTTCGATGTACTAAGTTTTGATGTTTAAACTGCGCTCCTTTTTGGGTAACCATAATTAAAATAATTTAGTAAGTTACTTTGCAATTAAAAATAGATACATTTTACACTTAACTTTAAACCAAAATGCTTTTACTGCTTGTTCAATTTAACTACTCTACTCTACCAGCTCTCCTACTCTTACTCCTACTCCGCCTCCTTCCCTTATTATCTATCTATCTATGCATAAATCACTTAAAATGCTTTCCACTTTCTTTTACAGCCATTTTCGCCTTTCTTTTTTTTTTTTTTTGGTCTCTTCGTAAAATTACTTTGATGATGTACGAAAAAAATGTCTGGCTAGAATTATTTAAATGTTTCTTTAAAAACACACAAGGACGTATTTCGAACTTTGGAGTAATACGTGGGACTTAATATGGAACTATTTATTGATCACTGGGAGAACATGGACTGAAAGTACGTTTTCAAGGCTTAAAAGAATAGTAACAATTTAATCTCATGGTTCTATTGGTTACGAGTACCGATAACATGGTAAGATTATCTTCATGACTTCATAAAGTTTTACTGCTACTAAGAAAGAATATTAAGTAAAATAGAATTCAGTATAGAATTCAAAAAGACTTTGAAAAAAGTTTTTATATAATATACTTTCTCAGAACTATATGTATACGCTATCGTAATTATATATTTTTTAAAAAACTTTTATAGATATTAAAACAGAAGATTAGCGTTTATTGTGCTGCGCCTAAATTATTGGTATTTATCGAAACCATAAGAAGTCCTATCTGCAATATCTTTTATTAATGGACATGCCTATTAAATAAATTTTTATCGGAAATAATATTTAGTTACATAGACTTTTTGAAGAGGACTAAGAGACCCTCATCATTGACAACGGAAGATCTATGCATCACTTAGCAGAAAAGAAAAGTATCATCATCATCAACTTTTTGAAGCTAATTATTGCGGCTATCTAACTAAATAAAACTTATAAATTTATAAAGCTTATAAAAATTCAAAAATGTATAATTGGTATATAATAGTATCATGTACATTTTCTCATTGTAATATTTTTTAAAAAAAACTTATATATATAATATAATTTATATATGTATATATAATGTAAACTTGTATATGTATGATGTAGTATATAAACACCATATTTTTATAACCCTTGTTTTTTATTTAGTAGTTACGTATATAATAAAATAACAGAAATATCGAAATTTGTATAAAAAAAAATATATATATAAAAAATAATTTTTTAATTGTGTAGTAAATTATAATTATTGCAAATTATAAATAATTAATTAATTACATTAAAAATATATAATAAATATATATATTTATTTCAAATAATAAGAAAAAAAATATTTATTTTTGTTAATAAAAGCTAATTATTTTCATAACTACTTGTTTATTTTAATTAATTAATATTAGTTTGGATAGAAGGAATTTAGGTTGAACACGTTGTATTATACAAGGTGTTCTCCAATAAAGTGACATAAACTCAGGATATAATTTATTAGTTCAGGAAACAAAAAAAAAAACTTAGTTGTTACTGCCAATTTTAAACAATCACTGATCAGATATTAACAACTTTAATTATTTATTTAACCATAATAAACCCTTCTTAAGTTTTAGGCTGATGTAGCACTCCTCTCCGGGCGAATTTGCTGCATGAGCGCGATATAATCTCTTATCACAAACAAAAGAAAAAAATGTCACTTAAATAGAATTTGAAATGAAAATATTTAAAATATACATCAGGATTGGTCATAGGTATATAGAAACCCACGCAGAAAAACCACCAGCTAAAAAAGAGAAAATAATGCATTTTCTCTGTGAATGCGGTTTTGGTACCCAGAAGAAATAGGTTTTTAGGAAAATACTTGTTTGACAATTTATCGCATTGTTCATCGGTAGATACAGAAAAACAATATTTACTCTATTGATAATAGAAACAATAATAGTTGATAGGCCTACTAGTAGTACACTAAAATGATAATAACACTAGCCATGGAGAAGGTCTGTTCTGGATTTCCGGGAGCAAACTAAATGGTTCTATGACAATTTTTTTTTTGTGAGTAATGCTCTGGGTTCATCGTCACTGAGAGAGCCGTCTGATAAATAAAGTTAGCATTGAAACATTTTCTAACTTGTCATAATTATTAACATTAAAACGAGTTACTTTTTATCAACTAATCGAATTTTGGCAAAGTGGTTCTTTAATTTTATAGGGATTGCTTAATGAATATGGGAATGCAAATATTTTTATGTATGTAGAATATAAACTGTGATACTCACGAGTAAGATAAGAACTCAATAAAGTTACTAATATATTTGGATATATATATTAAACTAAATAAATTGGATTACATATGAGTAGTATCAATTTAATTTAAATACTCTATTAAGACGATTAATAAATAAATATAGAAAAGCTACCAGGCTTGAAAATTTTCGAATAAAACATTAAACATTTGCATTAATAACAATTAATTTGTCATTTGCGATTTTAGAAATTGTATTAGCATTTAAATCAACATGTCAGGATTGATTTTATATTAAATTTATATAATTTATGGAACATATTTTAAAGATTTGAGTTTTGATTTTATAGGGGAGCAAATGCAAATAGTGCTAACAGCTGGCATTCTTTGATACCTAATAACACTTTTTGCAAGAATTCATATTATTTTCAACTGTAGATACAAGTTATTTATTATTTATGTAAGTACCCACAATCAAAGTTTATTTAAAAAAATTTACAGAGCATTTCGAGGACTCCTTCAGGATATAAAACTTAAGACTCTATCCAAGTAATTTTTTCAATAAGGAAAACTATTCTAGAACTATACACATTTCAAAATCAAGATCTTTGCTATGTTTTTGATAGAGCTCTATAGAAAAACAATACTTTTAAGGGTTTTGGATCATTAATCATAACGTATTATGTGTACAATACACTGCAAACATAATTTATTTTATGTAAATACAAAACTATTCAAATAATTATGTAAATTCACATAGTTTTCATAAAGATCAATTAATACAATGTGGGTAATAAAGAAAATAATGATATAAAACTAAAAGTAAATTCAATTCAAAAATCAAAATTTTAATATTAAAAACGACTTTACACTAACTACCCCAAAAACTTATATTGAAATAAAAATTCATGCCGAAGCTACAATTTGGTAGTAACTTCGTAAGAATATGTATAAGCTTGTCAAATTAAACTGACTATGAATTATAATTCAACTTTACTTTTTACCTAACGCTTCCGTCTATTTCAATCTCAGTCCAAAAACAACTACTCCACTTACTTCTTCATTAAGGGAAATGTTCCATCACCATAGATACTGGAATCTAATTATTTTTCATCAACGTATCGAATTGTGATAGAAATAACACTTTTTCTTATAGAAAACAGTTTTATAGGATATATTTATTTCCTTTGATAAAGTAAATGAAAATCGCAATAAGTAAAAATACCGGAGGCTGCTTCCTCCGCAATGACGAATGATGTTACTTCATAGGTGCTAAACCTTTTACACAAGCAAAACTTAAAGTCCTAATGATAATAGTCGTAGCACGAAGAAATAGTATATTACACAATGGGTACCATGTAACTTACTTTATATTATCACTTTTAGTGGCTCACAGACCTCCGTTATAAAATATATCTGTCTCTAATGGTTAGGTTTCGATAGTATAACATACCTATTTGTCAGTGTATATATATATCTATAAAACTTAATAATACTATTTATTAACTCGGCTATTTTGCTGTAGATTACACAATAAAGGCGATGTTTGGCTTGAAAATCTTCCTAGAAAACTTTTATAGGTTGGGATAAATTTACTATGTCAGCAATGTCTGACTGTTTTTATGTTTCTTTGGGTGTTTGTTTGAAATTATGGAGCAGGTATTTTGTAAAGTATGATTTGCAGTAAATGAAATCACTTAACCTCAACTTTCCATTAAAGTCGTGTTCGCAGATTATGTAAAAGTACTTTTCTTGGTTTCCATTTATATCGTGCTCCCTTTAATTATTCTTCCATCCAATTCGATTACAATTTCATTGGGACCATGACTTAGAAATGGGTTATGGTTCAATCATCTGTTCTAAAAGGCTTTTTTCACTACACTATGCCAATATAGCTTGCTTATCCAGAGATCCGACTTTAAAATTGCAAATTTTAACATAGACAATCCATATAGCTAATATAACTTTTGTTAAATATTGTTTGTGTAATCAATGTAACGTAACTACTTTATGTTATTTTCAGCAATTTGCAACTTTAAAACTTGATATCTAGAGAACCAAGCTATAACGTAAAATAAAGAGTTGCTCAAAACAGTCGATTTATAAAATCTGTCCTCAAATTGCGGCGCTCAAAAATTGTCTTCTCTCTTTCGTTATCATACTTGTTATTTCTGGTATAAATAAATAATAATTTATGTAAGTATACATATATATATCTTTCGTCATAATAAACTTATTTTATTATAATTTCGTAGTTATGCCTTTCTTTCTCCTTCTTTAACAAATGTCTTCAATTATGTTGGTATATTGCTCTCCAATTACGACGTTCTCACTCTCCTGTTTATATTCTTTGTTCTTGTGAAATTATATATATACATAACCACCTACGTAGGTCTTTTCTTTCTATGTATTTTCTTTTTATTTCTCATTTATACATACTAACGAACTGCTATAGCGCACAAAACAACATCACTGTTGTTGTCTTTTTATGTGCAAAATTTAAGCATATGCAGAGAACGATGTAATTGTGCTTCTCGAATAATACAAACTTTTACCCGAATATATACATACACTTACACATAAAAAAGAAGACAAAAATGGATGAAATCTAACAATATTTGTTGTGTTAAAAGTTATAACTTTAGTAGTGCCAATCGTAGGAACCAACAATACGAATTAGCCAATACCAATATGAACATTGACAAACCAAGAATCAAATGCTAATGTCAAAAAGTTACCAGGTCTTGCACTTGACTTCTTTTTTCAAATTTTGAACTCTTTTTTCTCTCAAATTTCGTATTTTTCTTATTTATACTTTGCACTTCCGTTTTTGTTTCTTTTGTTTGCAAAAATTTTAGCATTGAAAATGTTTATACATACTTTGCTATGGAAATTTTTCTAAAATAAATTTATTCTTAAATCGCTACTAAATCGCTATATTTTTTTTTTTTTTTTTTTTGTTCAATAAAGTTCAAAGGAAGTGCTTGGTGATTTACTTATTTTCACATGTTTTTTCAGTGCTGTTAGTTAGCACTTTGACATCTTTTTGTTTTAGGTCAGGTTAAGTTTGCGTCATTGTGGTAAAGAGTCATGGTTTGTTTGGTAGAAGATACGAATTCAAGTTTAGTTAATGTTTGGTTAAAGCGGCTGTCAGTCTAGCTAATTACCACACTTAGACCCTACAGGTCCTATTATGATATCACTGCTTAAGACAACAAATTTTAGTAAATAGTGTAATTTATTTGCAGTGTGATTTTTGCGATGTATGACTTAATAGCTATATGGTATATAACGAAGTAAACATAACTTTTTTAAAATACATAATTATTTATGGTTAAGTCATTCATATGTGTCGCTGAGTTAAATCCTTGATTAACATACTGTCGAAATTTGTTGATATTTGTAGGTATAGAACCGGGATCACGGTTCTATCTGGGATCTGATAATGGTATGATGATTCTTGTCACATAAGATGCTACTCTCCAGCTTGTTGAATTCGGTGATTAATTTCAAGTTTGTGTTTGCATTTCTGGCTCATATGTGAGCATAAATACTTAAGGCTCTCCATCATTTTAATAATTATTATATTGAAGGATATTGCACTATAACCTACAAATCTATTGTGCCCCATACATTGATTTATAGTATTCTTTCCAAATTCAATTCTCTCGTTAAATTGTAGTATAGAACCTTCTTTACAGAGTCTTATTTCTCAGTCCGCTATATGTTACCCACCTTGTCTGTATGCAAGCCCGAGTAATTAA